AATATCATCAAACCCTAACTGAAATAAACTACTTTTTGAGACAATGTTTCTCTGTGTAGCCCTTGATGTCGTGGAACTCACTCTGTAGACCAGGCTGGTCTCGAACTCACAGAGATCCACCTGACTCTAACTCCCAAGTGCTGGGATTAAAGGTGTGTACCACCACTATGCAGCAAACTTTTTTTCTTTTAAAAATATATTTTTATCTGTTCTTTGAAATTCTATATATGTATTCAATGTATTTTCATCATCTCCACACCCACTTCCTCCCCTCCAACTTCCCCTGCCCCCTCCAACATTTTCACATACTGAAGGTCTAAAAATTATTTATATTTTCTTTCTCCCCAAAGCCACAGTTTATAGCAACCAAAGAAAAACCCACAAGTATATTATAGAACATTTTTCCTAACGTACTGTTTACTCATCCTACCTTTTCAATATTTTATTTTAGAATATCTTTTGTTTATTCTTTTGACAATTCATAAGTGTACACAATGTATCTTGACCATACCCATCACAACTCCCCCCTTCCACTTCCCCCAGACAGGTTCCCCTCTCACCTTTGGTTCCACTCCATTTTATCTTCAAATGCACAGAGTCGAATTTGTGCTGCCTGGGGAAATGTGAATTAATTCTGCCAGCTTGATTCTGTGCAGGTGAACACACCTCTGCTGCGCTCGCATGTGCGACAGCCATGTCGTGTCCTGAAGACAGCGTTTCCCAGCCCTCCTCCCTATCCTTCAGCTTTTATGCTCTTCTCATTGCTTCTTCCATATTCACTAGCCCTGGGCGGCGTGTGTGTGTGTGTGTGTGTGTGTGTGTGTGTGTGTGTGTGTGTGTGACCTTTTGCCTGTGCATGTAACCTAGAATGCTTGTGCAAAGCCTTCCACACACTTTATCCTTAATCATAGAAACACTTGTGACAAAAAGCATATTGACTCCTGATCTCCATACATCTATTCACGCTACGACAGATTATTTTTTTCTTGTGATGAAATAGGATTCATCTTTTAAAAGTTAAACGGAACATCACACCATTTGAAAAATATTTACTAACTCCTTCTGTCTCTGCCCAAACAGAGCTGGGCTCCTTCTCCAAGCAAGTCACGTGGTGGGTCCATAGTTGACCGTCTTCTGGATGAGGACAGAAAAACATCACAGAGTTGATCTCAACAGATTTGAAACTCAGCTTTTGACCTATATTTCAGAAGCCATACACCTTGACAAATTAAACTGATTTTAAACCACCCAAATAAATCACTATGACCTTGCCTTTCTCTCAGGATCATTGAGAAGACGAAAGTAGTGAGTGTAGATATCACTCAGCTCAGTATAAATTAGATTATCTGTGGTGATGTGTTGTGCCCCCCAATATACTGTGTCTCCCAATAAAATTTACCTGAGGATCAGAGGACAAGGCCAGCCTAGTAAACACAGGAGTCAGACAATAGCAGCACATACCTTTAATTCTATCACTTGGTAGGCAGGGATCTGTCTGGATCTCTGTGAGTTCAAGGCCACACTGGGAACAGAGACAGGCATGGTGGCACATGTCTTAAATTGCAACACTAGTTAACCATGGAGGTCTGGAGGTCTGTGCAGACAGACAGGAAGTGACATAGCTGTGCTGGAAGAGGAAGTGATGTAGTTGGGCAGAGAGAGCAAATCAGAGGGCAGAATAGCAAGGCATATAGGCATGGGTAGACAAGAAGTAGCTCATTTTTGGAAGTTGTGAAGTTAGTGAGGTGAGGTTAGCTGTGGCTGTACCTATTCCTCTGATCTCTCTCAGGCTTTAACTCCTATATCTGGCTCCTTGTTGTTGTTTTTTTTTTTTTAATTTAATAAGACCATTTAGAAATTCATCTACAATTACCCTCCAATGGGATCATTTTCATTATTACCATTATGCAGGTATGAAGTATAGGCACTTTTGAAAATTAAATTAGCAGAACATTTTCCATGTTGGCATGAAAACCAACACCGAGTAGGTAGAGTCTCAACAAATACTAGTTGATTTCCATCACAATGTTACAAGATGTTGCTTGGTGTAGTAACCACTCTCAGGGTCTTCTGAGGTAGTAGCTATGCTTTGTACAAAAGGGCGTAAGATTAAACAATTATTTAAAAATTGTAGTACTGTGGGGGTTTGAATGATGAATGTCTCCCATCATCTTGGGCAGTTGAATACTTGGTCCCCAGTTGGTGGCCCTGTTTGGGGAAGTTTCGGTGTGGTCTTTCTGGAGGAGGTGTGCCACTGGGAATGGGCTCTGAGGTTTCAAGTGATATTCCCAGCTCATACTTCCTCTGCTTTCTGCTTGTGGTTCTAGATGTAAGATGTTAGCTTCCAGCTCCACTCTGCCACCGTGGACCCAGCCCTCTGAAACTATAAGCATAAATAACTCTTTCTTCTAAAGTTGCTTTGACCATGGTGCTTTATCACAGCAACAGAAAAGTAACTATTGCAAGTGTTCAGGATGGACCACAATCTTCTAAACACGATGTTGCACAAACCATCACACCCTCTTTAGGGCTTACTTTATGCTCTGTGGACAGGAAGGAGCGGGCTTGGGGCTCATTGGTCTCTATGGTGCCCAACACCCAGGGTTGCTGTAGAGGTATAAGGAGGCAGTCCGTGTAAAATACGCATACTAGATGATGGTGGTGGTGGTGATGATGTTAAAAGTCAATATGCGCAGTTATTGTAGAGGAATAAAGAGGCAGTCAGTGGGGAAAAAAGAGGCAGTCAGTGTAAAATACTAGATGATGATGGTGGTGGTGATGATGATGATGATGATGTTAAAAGTCAATATGCACAGGGTTATTGCAATGATGCTTTGATACTAGTGCCATGTGTATGAACATCTTTATTTTAACTCAGCCCAGAGCTGTTTTTTTTTTAACTGAGAAGATTTCACAGAACAAAATCCTTCAATTTCCTACGTAGTGGCAATAATGTTGCCATAGTTACCACAATCACCATTGTCATCACTATCATCACCATCACTACCGCCATCACCACTACCACCAGCATCATCACTATCATTACCTCTCAAGTACTAGGCTAAAGGTTAGGGCTAAAATCAAGAGTCATATCAAGAGATAGAAAACTCAACCCGAATAGGCTTAAGTAGAAGTGAATTTATTTGTTCACAGAAGGGGACTTTCCATGGGTAGACCAAACTTCAGGTAGGATTGGATGTCATTAGGACCTCATTGCTGTCTCTCCACTAGATCGGTTTTTCTTTTGTTGACTCTATTATCAAGCAGGAACTCCTGTTTCTTGCTAATATGTATATGTACATTTTTGTTAATATGTATATGTGTGTGTATACATTTATGTAAGGGTATGTGCATCTGTGCAGTTCCCACATTGGCCAGAAGAAGTCACTGAATCCGCTGGATCTCCGGGCAAGTGATAGCCAACATGGATGTTGGGAAGGTAATTGGTCCTCCAGAAGAGTAGTGAGTGCTCTTAATTGCTGAGCCTTCTCTGCTAAAGCCCAAATAGTAGCATCTACATCTCCTACAATCCTATAAATGTGTTGGTTAGTTTTACATCCACTCGACACAAACTAGAGTCATTTGGGAAGAGGAACTCTCAATGGAGAAAATGTCTGCATGAGATTGTAAGTCTGTAGAACATTTTCTTGATTAGTGATTGATATGGGAGGGCCTTGTCCACTGTAGGTGATGGGCTGATGGTCCTGGGTTATATAAGAAAGCAGCTGAGCAAACCATTGGGTGGTCCAAGTAAGCAGTACTCCTCCACGGTCTCTGCTTCAGCTCCTGCCTCCAGGTTCATTTCTTGAGTTCCTGCCCTGACTCCCTTCAGTGATGGACTGTGACCTAAGAGTTTTAAAATGAAATAAACATTTTCCTCCTCAAGTTGCTTTTGGCCATGGTGTTTTATCACAGCAACAGAAACCCTCATTAAGGGGCTGGAGAGATGGTTCAGAGGTTAAGAGCGCTGACTGCTCTTCCAGAGGTCCTGAGTTCAATTCCCAGCAACCCCATGGTGGCTCACAGCCATCTGTAATGAGATCTGATACCCTCTTCTGGCCTGCAGTCATATATGCTGTATACATAATAAATAAATAAATCTTAAAAAAAAAAGAAACCCTCATTAAGATGAAGAAAAAAATCTAAGAGAGAAATCTTGAGATCTGGCTTTCTGATGTAGATTTATTGATGTCTGCAATTCCTCAATTATCCCTCTGTGAAGGTTAAGTTTTCATACAATTCCAGCCTCCTTCACATAAAGGCTGAGGGTATCAATTGCCTCTTGACTTTAGATCTTCCCACAGGCTTTAAATTGTCTAATCTAAATAACAGTATGTCACGTGACCAAAGTCTTGACAATCCCTCACACAACTGGATCTCCCCTCTTATATTTCAGCTACTGTAAGAAAAGCCATGCCTTACTCAGCTCTTTGGTCTCAAAAGAAGTATGTGGATCGAATCTTCTTCATTTAAACCATGCTAACATTGATCAACACCCATTTGCATGAGCAAAATTAGCCCTTGTCAAAATACCACGAAAGTAGGTCCAGCCTCGGTTACCCAACACTCAGCCAATTGAAAGTGAATGAGAATAAGCTACAGGCTTTAAGACACTAAATTTGAAAATGATTTGTTACACAACGTTCTTTCAGAAGATGCTAGTTAGTGCATTCTAGTGGGCTTAAAGTGGATTTGTTTGTCCACCTTTATTTAAAATAACCAATGATGCCGGGCGGTGGTGGCGCACGCCTTTAATCCCAGCACTTGGGAGGCAGAGGCAGGCGGATCTTTGTGAGTTCGAGGCCAGCCTGGTCTACAGAGCGAGATCCATGAAAGGCGTAAAGCTGCACAGAGAAACCCTGTCTCGAAAAACCTAAAAAAACAAACAAACAAACAAACAAACAAAATAACCAATGATTGGAGGTGTTGTGCCTTCTCTTGGGTAGGAAAATGGAAGCAGCCGTGGGTTCCCTAGAAGAAAGTGAGAGTATTAAGCCACCCTGGGAAAGTGGGCCTCAGCAATTTCTTGACTCTGAAAGTTGGTAGAGGACAGAGTTCACTCATGGAATCTAGACCCTTGCCGTCCACAGCACACACGCCTGAAGGCAGCCTTGACCTCCTTGTTCCGCAGGCTGTAGATGAGAGGGTTGAGCATGGGGGTCACCATGGTGTATGACAGGGACACCACTTGCTTGCTCTCAGGAGAGTAGCTGGCCTTGGGGCGCAAGTGGATGACTCCCGTAGTGCCGTAAAACAGAATCACCACGATGAGGTGGGAGGCACAGGTGGACAGGGCCTTTTGGCGCCCAGAGGCTGATGGCATCCGAAGGACAGCAGCCAGAATCATGATGTAGGACGTAGCTATAAGACAGAAAGGAACCATGATGACGAGGACAGTAGCCACAAACACGTTGGCCTCGAAGACTCTGGTGTCTGCGCACACCAGGCTCAGTAGAGGTGCTATGTCACAGAAGAAGTGCCTGATGCCCCGTGGTCCACAGAAGGGGAAGTTAAAGAGCCAGATGGTGAAGACCAAAGCCACTGGTAGTCCTGAAAGCCAGCAGGTGGCGGCCAGCAGGTGGCATAGCCTCAAGCTCATGATGGCACCATAATGCAGAGGCCTACAAATGGCCAGGAAGCGGTCCCAGGCCATGACCGTGAGGAGGAAACACTCGGATGTGACTAAGGACAGCACGAGGAGCAGCTGCAGAGCACAACTTGTGGTGAACATTCCGCGTCCAGGCCGCAGCAGGGTCACCAGCAGACGGGGCGCCACGTCCAGTGAGAAGCAGATCTCCACCAGCGCCAGCTGGCGCAGGAAGAAGTACATGGGTGCTCGCAGGCCTGGGTCCAGGCTGGTGAGCATGACGATGAGCGTGTTGCCTAGCAACGTGAGCAGGAAGGCGGCCAGGAAGAGCACTGCAAGCATGGGGCGCAGGGAAGGCACGTGTGAGAAGCCCAGCAGCACGAACTCCAGCTCACGTGAGTGGCTGTGATTGGTCCAGGGAGGTGATGCCCAGGAGGGTGGCATGGGCCCAGGGCTGAAGGGCAGGGCGTTAAGGACCTGAGAGGAACCCTATGGCGTACCAGAGGGAGGAGATGATGAAGTGAGAATTGCAGCCTGTAGCTTCTGTCCTCTATAATCAAAGGCAAGCCTATCCAAAATGCAAATCAAATCCTCTCACCCCCAGGGACTTTCTTAAACACCTCAGTAAGTGCAGAATGAATGAAATGACCTCATCTGCTGACCTAACTCCTCTGGTCTATGTTCCACGGATCTCCATCCAGCATATGTGTACCACCTATACACCATTTACAGGGACTTTACACTTCTCATTCTCTCCTCTGCAACCACTTTTCCCATGTCAGTGTATAAGCACGGATGTATGCTGGGTCTTGGCTACGTCTCCATACACATTTCCCTCTATTCTTCCAAGAGGTTCCCATGACCCTCAACATTCTTCCCCCAAGCAGCCAGTATGCCCTCCCCAAGGCCTTTGCCTATACACAGTTCTGTTCCTTCCATATGTTGGCATCGTTAGACCATTCTCAGTCTCCAGGTCTATATTAAAATATCACCTTCAAGGCGGCCAATATGGCTCAGTGAGTAAAGGAGCTTGCCGCTAAGCCTGAAGACTTGAGCTCAAGCCTCAGTACCCATACAGTGGAAGAAGAGACCCAACTCCTGTAAGTTGTTCTCTGACATCTACATGACACATGCATTCACCCGCTTCCACATTCCTTCACACACAAATAGATAAACAAGTAACAACTCTGAGAGCATATACCTTGGTGGCCAGAATAAAACAAGTGACTACCCCTTCTTCTATTTACATTTCCTGAATGTAGTTGCAATGGAACAAATACTAAGTTGAATTTACCTTCTATTCAACAAAGTCTAAGTATTCTGTAATCTGCAAGCCTCATCGGTCATGCTACTTCATCTGCTGTCCAGATTATTCTCCACTAAATACCATCAAAAATGGTCTCTCATGAGGGTTTTGTGAAAAATCAATTTTGAGTAGGATATATGAAGTTTCTGGTAGTCCTGAAAGCCAGCAGGTGGCGGCCAGCAGGTGGCACAGCCTCAAGCTCATGATGGCGCCATAACGCAGAGGCCTGCAAATGGCCAGGAAGCGGTCCCGAGGAGACAGCTCTGTGTGTAAAGAGCTTGCTATGCAGACAGGAAGACCCGAGTTTAGAAATCCATCACATAAAAGCAGAGGGCTGCCTCTGTCACCCCAATGTGGCTCACTGGAGATATGGCATAGAGGCAGGCAGCTCCTAAGGGCTGCTTGTCAGCCAGAGTCTGACTGAAACAGCGAGTTCTACATTCAGTGACAGACCCGGTCTGAGAAAACACGGTAGAGGGGCTGGAGCAATGGTGTACTGAGTAAGAGAGCTTGCTGTGTAAGCCTGGGGAGCTGCATTCAAGTCCCTAGCACCCCTGTAAAAACCAAAAGAGCTTAATATGCCTGTAACTACAGTGTTGGGGGAGCAGAGGCAGGTGCATCATGTGAGCTCCCTTTCCAACTAGTCTGGGTAAAACGGCAAGCTTCTGGCTCACTGAGGGGCCATGTCTTAAAGGAATGAGGCAGTGAGTGAAAAGGAAGACAAAAGATCCTCCTCTGGCCTCTGGATGAGTGCTTATGAATACACAACACTCATCCATGTGCACGCTATGTGTACATACCACACCAGAAATTGTTAAAAATTAAAAAGTGGAGAACAGTGGGTGAAGACACCAACCCTGACCTCTGGCCTCTACGTTCAAATGCACAGGTAAGCATACCTGTGTACACATGTGTATACACATACACACACCCCAGAGCTGGGTCACAGTCAAATGTCCAAAGACATGTCGGTGACTTCAAAGCCCTCCTTTATAGACTCATATTGCATGCAAGATGAAGCTTAATTGTCTCATCATGACATTCACAGTCTCTTGGGGGGCAGCTCCCAAATCCATCCATCCATCCATCCATCATCCATCTATCCATCATCCATCCATCCATCATCCATCCATCCACCCATCCATCCATCCATCCATCATCCATCCATCCATTCATCCATCCATCCACCTATCCATCCATCCATCCATCATCCATCCATCCATCCATCCATCCATCCATCCATCCATCCATCCATCCAATCCAGAAGGTAACTCACAACACCAGATACTACACCAGGAACTGACCTTGGATCCAAGTTTTAAATGGAAAGGGACCGATTCTTTAACTTCTGATGCTTGGGTAGACAGAGGGGATTCTTAATCAGAAATGGAAAGGTTGCACAGAAGGATGTCATAGAATGACATCCTAACACCTGGTCTCCTGTAGAGCTCATAACACATTCTCACAGCATCATTTGTTGCATGCATATCCCTTTGTTTTACTTAACACAACGCCTGGCTCATAGTGGGTGAAGAATTTGTATTTAAAATGGTTGAACACCTATCTTGTTCATAATTCCACCTCTAGTTTTTACTTCAGTGCCTGGCACAGATAACGGAAAATCAGAAGTACTTATTTTGTTTGTTTGTTTTTCAAGACAGCTCTGGCTGACCTAGAACTTGCTCTGTAGACCAGGCTGGCCTCGAACTCAGAGATCTACCTGCCTCTGCCTCCCAAGTGCTGAGATCAAAGGCGTGTGTGACCATCGCCTGGCCCACAAGTGTTTCTTTTTTGAACATCTGTGGACAGCCCTTGTTCTCGTGCCCCCTTTCCTTAAAACATCTTTATAATATCCCACATATTCCCACTCTCTCTTCATTCCTGCTGTGTGCTGGCTTCTCACACTCACCTTGGTGGTAAATGCTGTTCCCAGCCGCTTCACATCGGCCTGAAGTTAAGTCAGTCTCAGACCATGTGGTGCCTGGCTGTGCATCTTCACATCTAGAAGTGAGTTTTATAGTGAATGAAACCGGGAGATGGTTCAGTGGGTAAGAGTGCTTGCTTTGCAAGTACAAGGCCCCAAGTTCAATCCCCAGTAGCCAGGCGTGGCTGCATGTGTCTGGGAACCCAGCGATGGGAAGGGGAACATAAGCAGATGCTCAGAACTTGCTGCCCGCTAGCCTAGTCAAAAGGGCTGGTTCAGTGACAGACCCTGTCTCAAGGTAATAAGGTGGGGAGAAAGAAGACACTCTACATCAGTGGTTTTCAATCTGTGGGTCGCGACCCTATGGAGGTTGAATTACCCTTTCACAGGTGACACCTAAGACCATCTGCATATCTGACATTTACATTATAATTCATAATAGTAGAGAATTACAGTTATGAAACAGCAATGAAATAATTTTATAGTTGGGGGTCACCACAACATGAGGAACTGTATAAAGGGGCTGCAGCATTGGGAAGGCTGAAATCCACTGCTCTCCTGCTCACGCACAGGCACGTACACTAGCACACTCATGTGCATGTACATTACTCTCACAGAGGGGGGCAGGATCTATCTTAAGAATGCAACAGAGGAAAGTTAAACAGAGATAACCGACATCTTTTCAACTCCAAGAAGAAAGCAATACTCTTAACCAATTTCCAGTGACATGGCAGGTTGAATGTAGATCAGAGCTTCACATTCAAGCTTTTCTATCTACCAGGCTTGGGCTCCCAGGTCGAAAAAGAAAAAAGCAATCTTGTCAAAATGCACTCCGTGCAGTAAGTGGCTACCATCTCCATGGCAACCTCCCCAGCACAGGTCACCATCACCTTTCACATAATGAGTGTTGTAAGTTCATTACTGGCCATTCTTCTTTTCTCCTTGGCATCTCCAATCCATTTTTTCAGTGCATTCACCGGAATTATGAGTGACTACGTGTATGTGTGTGTGTGTGTGTGTGTGTGTGTGTGTGTGTGTGTGTGTGTGTGTGAGAGAGAGAGAGAGAGAGAGAGAGAGAGAGAGAGAGAGAGAGAGAACAGAGAGAGAGGTTGAGTGTGTGTGAGAGACTCTGAAGGAGACTGCAGTATTGAGAATCACAGAAAAAATCCTGCACTCCTTCCTCGAGATGCTGCCTTCGTAAATATGCCTTTGGTGGCTGTATTTTTAATTCCTCTTCAACTGGTACCCAAACCACCAAAAGTCTTCATCACCTCTTCAGGGAGACAAGGGATGTCTCCGCTTGTTTGAAGGATTCTATCTAGTCTTACTTATTTGAGCCATATTTGTTGAGCATTTTTCTGTTTTATTTCCCAAAATGGGCAAGGCAACAAGGGCTCTCAACTGAAGAGTGTCTGGTGGCAAAGTCCCTTGAACAGTCCTGGATGTGAGGGGTGCTGCTGGTTGCTATGTTGAAGCAAATGTTTCTACAGGGAGGTGCACAGAACCAACTCTGGAGGCTTCATCACTGACTACTGCTGAAGGATTGGATGTGAGGGAAAGGATGGAGAAGAATGAGACCTAACTGCCAGGAGTCTGTCCACAGACACAGGATGATGGCCTTTCCGAAGACTGAAAGATTCAAGGATGCTCGAGTTTGGTGCTGAGGTGGGAAGGAAGAAGGAACAGCTTTGATAAGTTAGGAGAGTCTGAGACTTTCCTGTTGGGTTGTAGAGAAGGCTAACATCAGGTGTTTTCCTCTGTCACATCCACCTTCCTTTTTGAGACAGGGTCTTGCACTGAACCTGGAGCTTGCACTTTCAGCAAGTCTGGCTGGCTGGCCAGTGAGCTCCCAGGATCTGCTTGACTCCACCTCCCCTTGCTTCCCATCTCTGATGTTACAGATGATCCTTATGTGGAGTTTGAGAACCCAAAATCAACTCATTATGCTTGGCACCAAGCAGTGTAACCACTGAGCTGTTTCCCCTGCCCCTGCCCTATAGAGTCCAGTTTTAAAAGTAAAATTGCAATTGGTTTCAAAGCAGATTTTGTGTCTTTCATGTTTTCATCCATGGGATATTTTCCCCTGTTACTATAACTGACTGGGCAATTGTCTGCCTCATGAGGCTGGCAGATAATATCCAGTCAATTCTAAATCACATGGGTCACACAGGGAATCCTTCACGTCATCACCAATCCAGTGAAGTGGACCAAACTCCCAACTTGTTTCATGGAGCCACAGTGAGGATGAACTGAATCAATGCATTTAATTCTCTGCCTGTGAGATGGCCCTGTGGGTAAAAGTGCTTGCTGTCAAACTAAAT